CAACAACAACTGGGATTTCCAGAGTTGTGGTCCAACACCCAAACCATGTCATGCTTTACCTCTCCAATTTTGATTTCTCATTGGTGGGCAAGCTGCCTGTATAGAGAAGCTTATCATGGTTTTCAATGGCTGAGGAATTCCTGATAAGCTAAAGACCATTGTTTAGAAAACAAATGTTTCCAACAAAGCTGGGTTCAATGAGGTGCTAAAGGCCCACTTCCCCTCTTCCTTTCTCAAGGAGCATTGCTATGTTCAGGGCCTCAATGGACTGCTTTTTCATTTAAAAAACAACAAAAACCTGACTCAAGTAGCACAAAAAGATTGTGAAAGTCTGATTGTTCAATTCAGGAAGATGCACCTCCCCATTTTCTTTATGATTAAAATCAGAAATGGCTGCAGCGTCTCAGCAAAAAAATCAAAAAGTTGGTTAATGTCTTTCCAAATGAGGACCAAGTTCCCCTCTTGGTTCTGCATTTCCCCACTTAATAATAATAAAGACTCGTGAAGATCTGCTGCCTTCCAGATCTGGATTTGTTTCTGTCTTCAGGGACTATCCATAAATAATCCAGTTCATGAGTTTTCTGGGCATATATGAAGCCACAATTATTCTGTATTGACTCGGTTTATAATCTGCTAATCGAAGTTCACAAACCACCTTTGTGTCCTTATTTTAGGGCTGTGGTCGTTGCAACACGCTCCCAGGGTTTTCTTGGCAACATTTATTCAGAGGAGGTTTTGCCACTGCCTTCCTCTGAGGCTGAGAGAGCATGCCTTGCCCCAAGTCAGCCAGTGAGTTTTTATGCTTGAGCAGGGATTTGAACTCTGGTCCCTTGCAGCCAACATGGCAGAGTGGTTTGAGTGTTGGACGACGACTCTGGAGACGACCAGGGTTTGATTTCCAGCTTGGCCATGAAACCCAATGGGCGACCTTGGGCATGTCACATACTCTCAGCCTCAGGAGAAGGCAATGACAAACGTCCTTTGAACAAATCTTGGCAAGAAAGCCCCATGATAGGTTTGCCTTAGGGTTGCCATAAATCAGAAATGACTTGAAGGCACACAACACACCCACACACCCCTTGGAGTCCTAATCCAACACTCAAACCATATGCCACACTTGCCTTCAATTATTGTGCTTCTGCAAGTGGACTCCAACCCAAAGATTTTCTTGACAATTATTTATTCAAAGGAAGTTTGCCCTTGCCTTCCTCTGAGGCTGAGAGCGGCTTACCCAAGATTACCCAGAGGCTGTCCATGACCGAGCGGGGATTTGAACCCTGGTCTCTAGAGTTGTAGTCTAATGCTGAAACCACTACACCATGCAAGCTCTATAATAAGTGAAATTATCTTGGAAGATGCCTCATTGGCCTCATAGCAGCAGCAGCAGCAACAGCAGCATACTAGAATTGGCAATGAGATGAGGTTTTGCAAGCCTTCAAAAAAGCAAGCCTTTCCCTAACAGGATGCAAGCCATATTCTCCCAATTTCCATCCCTTGCTGGGGCAAACAAGACTTCAAACCCTCCAACAATCTCATTTTGGCAGGGACAGTCCCGATTAATCCTCTGCCTTTCTCCTTTTCCAGCTGTTTTTAAAATGTCCCAGTTTCTCTATCTTCCTCCTAGTCCTCCCCCTTGGTCCTCAGCTTTAGTTCAATTGCTGCAAACAGAGTTCAAAAGC